TATAATTTCTGGTAAAGCAAGAAGCTTACTGGAATGTTCCTCGAACCAATCCATGACGATTCGACCCTTATAATATGGTGCATTATCCTGTTGGTAAACACCATCCCCCCACAGGAAAAACTGTTGCTTGAATGGGTGAACTATGTTCAAGAATCTTACAGGCGTCAGGGATTGTTCGATGAGGATTATGGGTCCTAATGTGCCCCATGAAATCATTGTTCCTGGGCGAGAAACCATGAAAACCTGGGTGAGCCCATTGTTATCGATGAAGGGTGGTTATAATGTAATGGCTCTTCGGTGTATATCTAGACTCTGTAAAGCAGAAAAGAAAATTACGTGTAGAAAATGAAATGATAACGAAATTTGATAACGATATAAATCAGAACTGTATGCAGCTATAGATGATTATTTAAATCCTATTCCGCGATGTTCTTAACTTTCAATGGAGTATAATTATACCCTAAGTATTTATTTAGAAATTTTTTTTATTTGTATATAAATAAAAACATAGTTACGAAGTAATTATTTAGATATTAGTTAGATTTATTCTGTAATGGATGTAAATATTTTAAATTTACGTGGTGTTAATGAGCTTGATAATTATTACTTACTAGTTATTAGGGATAACTTACTAATTATTAGGGATAAAGCTTACCATTTTCGTCCAATTTTAAATTATTACTAGAATTCAAAACCTGAAGAACTGTTGTGACAATATTGCAGACATCACTTGAAAGTAGTTAAAATTGAAATCATAGTACTCCGGTACTGAAAAGCCGTGGGTAACAACTAGGTCGTAAAAAAATTAGTAATTTTGGAAAAAAAAACTTTTTGGAAAAAATTTGCAAAAAAATTAGTAAAATTAGTACTACTAGGTCGTAAAAAATTAATAATATTTGGTTATCATTTAAGACTAAATAAGGTGTTCGGATTAGCGGAGGTGAGTTAAAGAATTTGAATATTTAAGTGCAATTTTAAAGTGCATTTGGTTTGGTTACCACTAAACATTTTATGTTGGTTAAAATAATTTTGAAAGGAGACCTCGCTGATCACCGAAGGTATCTAGTGCCTATTAAAATTATTTACGAATGAAAAAATAATATTGGTAAAGTAAGAAAAAAATGGAATATGTTTCATTCATTGAGCCTTTACTCCTAATACCAAATAAATCTTTTTAAGTGTCCTCCAAATGCCACTGCTGACAGATTGTATTTTTTGTTGCATTTTTCTTCCTTCGAACTTTCTTTTATCCCTAAATAACATCAGGAGTAAGTTATCTAAGATTAACTGTGACAATTGCGCTGCTAAAGGGCGTCACAACGAAAGCTTGAAAAAGAAAGAACACAGCTACAAGCAATAAAAAATTCTTTCTAAATGGTACAAAACTTAACTTTTCCAACAGACAGGAAATGTTAAAAAAAAAAGGCTGCCATGTTAGTGCAAAAAAAGTAATACTATCTGAAGATAAAAAAAAGGAAGAAAAAATCGAGCAATCTAAAAATGTCGGTCTGTACTCGATCAATGACAGTGAAACATAGCTTAGTGCTTCTGATGGGTAGTAGTTGAGGTCATAAGTTTCGGAAAACTTTCATTATTCTTTTATCCGATGATAAAGATAAAAAAATGACACGGATGTAATAAGATATTATAAAAAGTATATTACAATATAAAAAAAATCTGTTTTTTTTTCTAAAAAAATGTAATTAGGTCTGAAAAACATACTTTGATTATTAGTTTTGATCTGGTTCTTGGTAAATTAACCTTAAACCCTTTTGAAGGCCGTGGTAAGTATACTTACCACCACGTTTTACCACTTTTAATTTAGGTTTCCATTTTTCAATAACTTCAGCTTTCTTGAAGTGAGTTTGAATAAAATTCGTAACCATTTGTCACTTTTAAAAAACGTATAAAAGTTATAAAACACATAATTCCTTTTGAAGTTTGTAGCATTTAAGGAATTTATTTTATAAATAAAGAAAAATAAAAGTCAGTAAGTTCCTAATAGGTCATGTTAAATATATTTACCACCAAAAAAATGGCATTTTTATAAACTAAATGAGTTTTTTTTATATCAATTGCTGTTTTTAAAACAATTTCAATTCCAAAAATACTTTAATTTACCTTTACTAGAAAGGGCCCATTAACGGGTTAAGTCAGATTTTAAAAAAAAATTTCGAGATTTAAATTCTTCTTTACGGTAATACATTAAACTCAAATGCACTTGTTTAGCACAATTTAAGGAAAAATAGTAGATATTCGACAGTTATGACTTATGAATTAGTACAATCAAACAATGAACACATTAGTTGATAGAATCAACAATCAATAAAAATCAAATGGTTTGCATAATACCACCAAAATTAACATAATACCACTTATTTATTTTCGGTAACAAGTCAATAGTGTCAAGGTCCCCAAATTGGTTGATAAAATGAAAGAAAAATATTCTTTAACGATATGGAAGTCGATAACGTGCACATTACTTACAGTTTGTATACTGTAAGAACTCCTCCCGGATCTAAGTCTGGCTCCGTCTGCTGCCGGGGAGGGTTGCTTCTCTTTACTCTAGGGCTAACACAATAGACCGAAGAGAAAGATTCCCTTTCTCTCGCCGAAACGAGCCAAAACCTGTCCTAGGCAATGACCCCACACCCCTACTTGACGAATGGCTAGGAGAATTCTTACTTCAGAAAAACTATAGGAAAATTGCAGAAAGCTTTCATTCTGCTCTTTAACAGAGCGAATTTGCAGATTATGTAGGTTAAGTGCACATTAACGGCTATCGAACTTTAATGATTACATATAGATTTCCTGAATGTTGCATGGTTAATTTAAATCAGTTTTTCATCTGTCCATTTACGGTACAAATTTCAAGTGGCATTTTTTTTCTTCAAAAGAGTACACTTCAGCTCCGTGTTTTTTTTGCTCAATACATACTCGTTTGACAAAAATTTCAATGATTATTTTGCATAAGCGTGGCTAAATTTCGTTGAGGTAGTCATCACTTTCTTTTTTTAAAGGAGTAAATGATTATGGGCCTGTTGGCATAGGCATAAACCGAAGATCTCTGATCATTGAAACAGACATTTCGAGACCAGAGACTGACTCAGTTTCGGTAGAAATATTGCTCTACAATGAGAATTCACTTTTTTATCATGTAGGGTCCTCTTTTTAATAACCCTTAACTATCAAATGACCCACTGTTTTTCTTTTCGTTCTTAATATTTTAAAGCTCACAAGGCTTAAGGTTCAAATCTCAATTGAATCCTGGTGTCCAGTTTATATTTCAAGGAATCTGTACCTCATTAAAAAAACACTTAATATTCGAATAAGTGATTGGAGTTCACACATAATTTTATTAAAATAGAAAAACACCAATTGAAGAGGTTTATATATATTNGATTTTGCTTCCAAGATGTCTAATAAATTTTTATGATTTTTTTAAAGCCTTTTGGAATTTTGTAGTCCGAGTGTAGGTAACTGAATAAAAACTGTATATATATATATATATATATAGTTTAAAAGGAAACTACAGATTGTACAACATTAAGAAAAATTGAAAACTTTTCTGTTTTTACAAAACTGATTGTTCCATTTTTACAACGATAAATGAACTAAATTTAAACCATTTTGTGGTTTTAGGTGATGGACGACAGAATGGTGCGCTGCCCAGAAATATGCAGATGTTCAGACATTTATCCACAATGCCAAGATGGTGTTCCAGTTGTGATGGATGGTTGTGGTTGCTGTCCAGTATGTGCACGGCAACAGGGAGATACCTGTAATTCTGTACAGGTTTGTGACGTAACAAGAAAGCTGCAGTGCATTTATGCAGATGTATTCTCAACATCTGGTATATGTAGAGGTAAATTTTGAAAAGATGCGTTTTAGACTTTATATTGCACTCAATATATACTCGCATATGTCACAGAATATCAGAGCACTTTGTGACTTTATTGAAAACACAAATATCCAAAATCCATATTTGCATTCTATATATTAGGGCATGCGCTGGAATAGGTTAAAATTGAAAATGTCAAACAAACATTAAGAGGAAGAGGAGGCCATGCAACGAAACTGTCAAGCATAAAACTGCAAAATGTGGGAAAGAACGCAGAAAAATCATCCTTATCCAGCATCATAACTTCCAGGAGCACAGGGAACTTCTGTGGGAAATTTTTTTTATAATTCGCTTCAAAATTTCTGGAAATATTTTGAAGTACACAAAACATTAAGGGGTCCAAACTTTAAACCGCTCTCCTGACCAAGCTATGGGGGCCATATTTCCCAGATTGCGAATACCCCCTTACATTTTGAGGGTCGGAAATACAAGTCCGTTGTAAAAATGGTTGTCTAATTCAGAGTGAGCAAGTTTTTGTGTTTGGTTTCATAACTTAAAATATCGTTTAAACTCTAATTTGTTAGCATATTTGAGATCACTTCCTCTAACCAATTGAGATTGAGTCCTGGAACGTGATGATCCGATCATTAGATCAAAGGTTTTATTCAGAGTGGTCTGTTTATTTATTTATTTATTTTTTTGCGCACTGTGCATATTTGTATTCCATATCTTAGGATATGTGTTAGAATAGGTTAAAATTGAAAATGTCAAACAAGCCTTAATAGGCGGAGGCCTGCTACGGAACTGGCAAGCACAAACTGCAAAATGTTGGAAAAAACACAGAAGAATCATCCTTATTCAGCCCATAAATGTCAGGAGATCTTGAAGCTCTGCAAATTATTAACTTATAAGGCAAAGTACAAAATCACGAGTACCAAATCCACTACATTAGAGCTAGCGTTTTGGATATGAATTGTAAACAAAATTAAGTAAAGAAACTTTTTTTTACGTTACAAATTTAGAAAAAACAGATGGCTTATGGTTTCTTTTTTAAGAAAATAAAATGATGATTAGCATGCCTCATGATTTTTTTCCATATCCTGACTCAAGAGCTTCCTTTTTGCATCCTTACACAACCAGTTTATCCCTTTTCTTAAGGAAACACAGAGTGGTTGACCTCTGATTACTCTGATCAACCAACGAAGAGACTGAGGGTTCGGGCTATCGGTCCTACCATAAAGTGTTCGAATACACGTGCAAGTCGTTGGGCTATTAATCTCTTAACGATCGGTTGATTTTCAAGAAAACGGCCATATAAGTGCCTATCTTTTGGCTTTTATATTTGTATTACGTATTTGATTAGTGCTGCAACTAGTTTAAAATAAACGAACTACCTTCAATTACCTTAAAAATATCCTGTTACTGTCATCAGGTGTATAAAATGAGAAATAAAATTCTTTCCGGGCAAAAGAAATGAGTTAGTTTTATTCTTATCGGCGCGTTACTACTGAACACTCCGGCCCGTCAATATCACGGGAGCGAGAAATAGCGGGCGAAATCTCCCCCCGTTATTTTCACGGGAGCGAGAAGGAAGGGGCTAAATAAAGAGAGCCACTCTTTCAGTAAATGATCAAAATTGTGAGGGCACATCTTCGGATCTTCCTCGGGTATGTTTCCCAGCCGTTGCCTCTAGCCCACTTTGCAGACCTAAGGCAATAAATATTCTTTTACATTATTGTTTTTTGCTTTTTTTATAATTACACTTTATATCACGTTTTCGATTAAAAAAATCTCTTCTCTATTTTTTCATACCCGACAAGCATCTTCAACGTAGAAAAATTTTAAAAATTGGTAGGAAAAAATGTACGAAATTAAATGTTTTGATATATTGCTATAAAAACAAAGTCAACTGAATTCCTAATATTGATGTGAAGTTAAAGACGTTCTTTTTAAATTCTTCCAGATGCCCGCCTGGATGATATAAGAAAATACTTCTGTTATGTCACGAATTTGGATACACCGAGCTTTTTTTCCTTGTACCCAACAAGAGCTATATATCCAACTTTTATTTCACACTCCATTTATACCACATCACACTTTCATTTATATCACAATTATATATTGTCCCCTGTCATGTTTGTTTTACCATGGACTCAGAAAAACCCATTTCTGTTTCGTTTACCTTCGACAAGAATTCCGTGCATCCGGATATACCGACCTTTTTTTTTCTTCCCCTCGACAAGCGTATTCTATCATTCTTTCATTTATACCACAATTAATATAGTATTGTTGACTGACATATTTCTTTTGCCATGATTTCAGATTACCCTATCAATGTTTCATTTATTTATTGTTATTTTTTTTTGCCTTTGATAAGCATGAAACTTTCTGTATACGGTTATACGACGCTTATTTCTTTGGCCTATAAGTAAATCCATATATTATGGATCAACTAAATCACGCTATTTCCTTGTCCTGGGACTGTTTGTCATATTGGGCTTCCGAGTATAGCGCTCTATATTTTTCCACCGAAGAGAGCTTTATATAGCTCAGTTATTTTTACTAGTCTCCTGACAAGAATTAACTGTTATAAAATTAACTGTTGTTTAATGATGCATAATTTGATAATCCAAATACTTTTGGCTGAGTAAGATAGTTTTCTGGTAATATTATATTTGTATATTATTTCATTTCGTTTGAGAAATTTTTAATTCAATTTTTTACCAAAAAAAAAATAATACTCTGTTATTTTTTTTCATAACGCTTCACATAGCTTTATTAAAAAAAATATTTTTTCCAAAATAATCTAGCAATAAAAAAGGGGGAAATAATTAATTTTTAGTGACTCAGCATTCATCACGTCGATATTGCAGTCATACGCTATTTATAAAGTAATGTCTCCTGCCAAGTTAACGAGAGCTATCAAGAAAATTAGATTTCTAATAAACACGTTGAGTTATTTTCTAGCCCAAAGGAAATATTTTATTTTTAGCTGTTATCCTGTTTCCTTAATTAACAGTGCATCAAAATTCCGTTCCACTTGCAAATCCAATTGCTAAGACAAATTAGATGACTAAGCGGTAAATTAAAAGGACCTGGCGAAATACCGATTTTCGCCAAGTTACTTTAAGAGCCAATTCAAAGGAAGAAGGGATGACTTAACTAGGGGAAGCATTTTGTTCCTTTCTGCGAAGGCATCACCATTAGGGATTTGCTTGAATGAACTTGATGACGCCAAACTTTATCAAATATCGGAAAATTTCTGCCCAATAACAGCCAAAAACTTAGAGGGAAATGTTAAATTTCTCTTTTAGCTTTGTAAGGTCTTTTCATCCATAAAATGCTTTATTGGAAAATTTCCATCGCTATGTTTATTAGGATCAAATTAAATGGAATCTTTGAATGAACTACATTCACCTGTTTCGAAGATATACGTTCGTAAATTGGGTAATAACTGTAATCGATAGTTCAAATGTGTTTCAAATTATATAACCATTTTAGTTAAATTTTATTAATGCAAATGAAATCGGTTGTAACTAATGGATGTGATGCTTAATTGTCGAACATTTAAAATAGTTTATTAGATGAACAATTAGTAAACATGGAAAATATTGTAATTATTAGTTGAACATTGAAAATACTTTGGCATAATAATTTAAGCACATTAAAAAAATTAACCTCTCACTATATGTATAATAGTAAAACGGTATTTAACATGGTAGGTCATTTTCAATAACAATTAATAACAATTAAAGGAAATATTTTAAGAATAATTGACTTTTAAGGTACGTCAAGTTATCTGTTATATTTATTAAGTTCATATTTATTTCTCTTTTCGTTTACTTATATTTCGCAAATATACTCTTTAATGGAGAAAAAATACGAAACATTAATTTCGAGCTATTAGGGGGCTTTTTCTCTCTTATAGCTTTTATCTCTCTTTGCTACATGCAGGCAAGACGAAGAGAGCAAGTTGATGCCGACAGAACCAGAGCGTTTTTATGTCAAAAATAGCGTACCCATTACACAAAATACCGTATCGTTTAATATTATGTCAAAAACAGGTAATGGTTTGAGAGAAATTATTGGAAACCGAAAAAAGGATTTTTACTCAATATTAATCTACATGTATCCGAAATTGCCTTATTTACTAGGTAACTAATGAATATTTTTAATTTTTGTTCATTGAGAATTGTTCATTGCGATGTTTTCCAATGAAATCTTTTACCAAATTTTAAACTTTATAGCTGTTAGTAGTTTTAAAATTTGTCAAAGTTTAAAGTTTTTCTAAGTGGATGCTCTAAAAATACTTGCAAAATTAAAATATAAAATTTAGGAACTATAAGTTCAACCTCACAGATTTTCATTGGTGCTCCACGGAGCCCTGGAAATCTGTGGAAACGTTTCAGGGATTCCGAGATTTATGAGTTTTTTTTAAACAGGTTATGAATTTTGAAACTTGCAATTAAATCTATATCCAATTATTAAAATAATCTTGAATTTATTATATATTTCCGTTATTTTTATGAAAATTCAAAGCAATGTATTTTCTAATAACAATGTAATGAATTAATAGTGTAATGAATGTAATGAATTAATAGTATATGCATTTATGAAAAATTGCATCAGTATTACACATCGAATAAAAATAAACAAATTCAAATTTGAAGAAATATGTCTTTTTTTAACGTTTTACTATTCTCAAAGTTTATATTTGTCATTTTTTGGTTTTTATTTTAACGAAAACCATATTTTAGTTAATTTATTTTCAGTTTCTACATACTGCACTATGATCTCATGAGTTTTTTCACGGAGATCTGATGAAGAACAAGATTAGATGTCGCACCAGAACTGCAAATTCAACTCTCCGAGATAGAACACAATTTTAAGATTAATATTGATAAAGCGATGTAAATTTCATTCTTCATTCAAACTAATTAATAAAATTTAGATCGTTGCCGATTTTTAAAATTATGAATCGTTTTTCGTTTATAGTCTGCTCACAATTGCTAATGAAGTGTATTTGTTACGGTTAAAGTGATAAATCCGGTTATTATTAATACTAACCGGTCAATAATAATAATAACCGCTTCTTTCGGTCAAAGTGAGAAATATCGCAAGTTATTCACTTTAACCGGTTATTATCAATAATAACCAATGAAGTTTGGCCAATGAGATTAAATGCCTTACATAACACTAGAACATGGGTGTGCCTCTTTGAACATGTGTCACAGTTAAAGTGATAAATCCGATTACTATTAATACTTACTTGTGAAAATTAATAATAACCACTTCTTTTGGTCAAAGTTAGAAATATCGCACGTTATTCACTTTAACCGGTTGTTATTAATAAAAACCAGTGAAGTTTGGAAAATATGATTAAACGGATTAACCGGTCAAGATTAATTATAACTGCTTCTTTTGGTCAAAGTGAGAAATAAAAACGCGAAAGAATGACACTGACCAAACTTCATCGGTTATTATTAATAATAACCGGTTAATGTGATAAATTTGCTGAAATTATTCAGCTTAACAGGCTTATTTGGTAATTATTAATATTGACCGGTTAGTATAAATACTAAGTGTCTATTCATATTGATAGTAGCATATTCATCACGTCTCGGAGTTCCGCCAAAAGTTGATCGTTTAGGGTTCCACAGCCGAAAATAATTAGATACCACTGTCTTAAACTATCATCTAATAATGTAAAGGAATTGCATTCATCAATATTTATAAGTAAGATATCTTGTCATTTATCGATTTCTAGGCATTGATTAAGATAGAGCGCATAGTTTTTATTATTAATATGACATGCATTACTTGATGTATTGAATTCAAAATACTGTTTTCATACTAAAAGGTGCATTGATTAAATTTTGCCTTTGTCCAAATAGTAAGAAGAGGACAAGGCTGTCATGTTGGACAGACAACTTACAGAGATGGTGAAACATTTAAACTGGACTGTCGTACACAGTGCACATGTCAGAATGGGACTTATGGGTGTGTGTCTTTGTGTCCTCATGAAAATGTTCGACCATCATCAAAGTGTCATCATCCACAACTGGTTAAAATGCATGGATCCTGCTGTCGAGAATGGCTTTGTGATTCAACCTTGATTGAAGGTAAAATTTAAAAAAAAAAGTTTGTTTTTACCCTCTATGCCGAGGTTGCAACAACTCTTTCTGTAATTCAATATCTGGTAGTTTTAGTCATATAACTTTCATATTCTTTGCAAAAGTTATTTGTTTATTGTTATATGTTACCCAAAAATAATTGAATCTGAGAGCTTAATTCGCACTCTAATAGGTTCGAAGTCGGAACAAGTTATTGCAAATGTTAACAAGCGATTCCCAAAATATACTTAGTATAGCTCCAAGATTCCGTGGAAGGAATACATAGATACCGAAAGTTAGGACTTGTTTGCGATTTGTAAAAACTCGGATATTCCTTAACCTATATTGAATACCCTGTTTGAACATCACTCCCGTTAAGATACAGGATTGGTCGATCCAGAAAGCCACAGACTATTGCAGAAAATTAATTAAATTTTATGAACTATGTATGATGAACTATGTTAACTAGAACGTATGGAACTCGGAGAAGATGCTATTTAGAAAATTGCTTATAGAGTGCTGAAAAAAAAGTTTTTAGACCCGTTTATCATGCTACACAATACTTCATGATGATGACTTGTGATTTTGACTTGTTTGGCCAGCATATACGATAAACTCAAGTTGCAGTTCTCCAAACAGGAAATAGTTTTTTCAATCCTGGCCAAAGGTCAAGAACTAGTCAGCTCCAGGTCACAGGCTAATTTAGGCCACTCTCTAATACCTACTTTGTTTTTTTGAAAACGTTTAATCCTCAGACTCAATTTTAACATAGAAAATAAACTACTGAACGAAACATACTATTTAAAAAAAAGTTGAAATGTTTTTTACATCATATGAGAATTCCAAGAAAATATGTTTATGTATTCTTACAGTAAACACAAATAAAATACATCTTCTATCAAATCGATCCCACTTTAGTACTCCAAAAGTAAAAAGTGGAGAAAATTTCTTTGTTCTAAAAGTTGCTTATGAGCATTTCTGAAATTATTTCTTACTCTTTTTTTAGATAGGAAGAAACACTGTCAACCTTACACAAGTGAATGGACCTCATGTTCTACAACATGCGGTACAGGTATATCATCACGCATATCAAACGACAACCCCGAGTGTAAGTTAAAAAATGAAACAAGGCTTTGTTTACTGAGACCCTGTCCAACAAAAGAGGACATTCCACAATTCACTTCTCATGGACATCATGTAAGAGTACGTTCGATTCATTTGTTCACTTTGTTATTCCAGAACCAACCCAGATCCTACCAGTAGTCAACCCAGATCCTACCACCCATTAGAGCAAATGAAATCAATATTTTATTGTGAGCGTTAGTGTACTTAATCCATGCATCCGTTTGAATAAATATAAACACTATACGAAATGTACACGTACTATTCAGTTGTGTTAAATACACTTACTGCAAGAAAGTTCAAAATATTTTAATGACAGTGAAGGTACAAAAGTAGGTGGTAAAGTAAACAGATGACTACCCTTGTTCCAAACAACTTCTACAATGAAGCAATTAAAATTTTATTTCATGCGAAAAAAAATAAAAATCTTTTAACTGGCTCAGGCTTGCCTCCCGATGAGTTGACTGAAGTACAAATCTCGGTGATTGTTTATCTATACGAATTCTGCTCCAGATTCGCACTGACCACAATGGAGACGTAAAATATCTTCAGTAGACCAATCATGGGCTAAATTCCCCTAGCCGTCGGACTACCTATGATTGTTTTTAGTTGGGTTTCTACTTCAATGCAACGCAAATGTACATTAGTAACGGGCAACGCATGTGCATAATGAACATTAATATACAAATATTCATTAACATTTGGGCAACGCTAATGCACAGTTCTTAGATATTTTCGTACCACTTATTTTAAATCTGCAATCGGTTTCTCTTCCTGAAACTACAGTTTCTTAAACGAAATTTTTAGTCTAATTTTTGATGAAATGTACGAAATTAAAAACGTTAGATATAACAGGACATCGCATAAATGTTGGGACAGACTTCTAGGGGATTTAGGGAACATCATCAGGATTAAAATTGTATAGGAACCAATGCCCGGAAATTCCTTCGCATGCGGCTAGGGAAGCTTTCCTGTTATGACCTGTTTCGAATCACTCATAGAAGCAGTTTGTAATAGGGGAAGTACCTCTAGCTGCGTATGACATTTCCGGGCATGGTTTCCAATGCTTATAAGGTAGGTACTTTATTTACGTCGCAATAGAGCTGCATAATGGGCTATTGGCGAAGGTCTGGGAAGCATCCCTGAGGATGATCCAAGGACATGCCATCGCAATTTTGATCCTCTGCAGAGGGGATGGTTCCCCAGCTTTGGTAGCCCGACGACCTGCACGTGAAGTCGAGAACTTTACGGTAGAACCGTTTAATGAGAACCTATACCGCGGTTCCACAGGAAACTGTGTCTTAACGATCAGCCCACTGCGCGACTAATGCATATAAGGAAATATCTTCTTTAGCCTCTAGGGCCGCTTCCCTATTATAAATTGTTTCTTCGTATGCTTTTAAACAGGCCATAATACGAAAGTGTTCATGGCCGCATACGATGATATTTCCGGTATGGGTTCTTATGCAATTTTAAACCTGATGATGTGCGTGAACTCCTAGAAGTTTTTCGCAACATTTACGTTACCCCATATATAACATTTTTAAACTTGTACATTTCGACAAAAACTAAACTTAAGATGCCATTTAAAAATATCTGTAGCTATGGGAACAAAACAAATTTCGGATTTGAAATTCCCACACCCGAATTATGCAAGATCAAGTATTTGCACAAATGCAACAAAATATCTGTTCTCCAATGTTATCTCGTATTAATATCGTTCACATTTATTTCATTTCAATGATGAGGAAATCTCGTATGACGTACAATTTATATTATTTTATTGAATATTACCTTCCCATCTATTTTTCTTTCTTGCTAATGATTCAAACAAGCTATAAAATGCGAAGTAATTGCTTAATGTCAAATCATAATCCTATTTACAATCTTTAATATTTATTTGAAACAATCTACGTAAAAGATATTAAAATTTCAATGAATTTTCTCATTAAAATGTTAATGCAAGTTCATTGAAATTAATTCCGAAATTCTAAGAAGGTAGCTAGTTAGTAATTTATTATTCCATTAGCATTTACAATCATTAACCGTACTTAATTCAATGTTCAAAATGTAATGGTTCAACTTCTTTTGTATTTAAACTCAATAACCAGAAAATAACTTTTGAAACAGTTTTCACAGTTTTAAGAATCAATTTAAAGTTTTCTAAAGAACTTCCTGTAATAAAAGTCCACAATGAGCATTTAATGCGCTGCTTGGTTCGTAAAATCTTTTTTTTTCTTCCGTCAAATGGGAACATTTAGTGTAGCGTTTCTATTTTTAAAACTGTTATTAAATTTTTCACTCCGAAGGAACTGATACAACACAGAGAGAATCACTAAAAAAAGTTATGAACATCAACTTAAATGAACTCCTTTTCATTATATTCGATAAATATCCCCATGTCGTAAATATTTAAGAGGGTTATTGCGATCTTTTGAAAACTTTTAAGCTTTTAGGGATACTCATTTAACACCGGTAATTTTTGTTTTTATATAATATGTATTTTAATCTGCTAGTTTTCGTTTTTAAGTAATATAATTTTTTTATTTGAAATTAATATGTGCTACCTTTCGTGATCTTCATTTTATTTTTAAAACTCTTATTTCATGATCAGAATATATCTGATATAATTTTTTAGAAAGTAAAAATGCTGCTGTTTTGTTTTTTTTTATTTTTATTTTTCATAATAATAGTTATTTCTTAATGATTAACCAAATTATTTTATTCAGATGGAAAATTACATCTATTATACTCTTTCTTAATATTAAATTTAAAGCGTTAATTTTAAATTTATTTTATGATTTCGTAATATTATCATGTATATTATTGATATTATATATGAAATATTTATAATATATTATTTACATTATATTTTAAGGCCTTTTAAAATGATAATTCTGCACTTAATTTTAAGCTTCTGAATTTTATTTAGATGGCTGTTCCATTGACTGTACTAAAATAAAAAATAACTCCTAAGACTCAGTATTTAAAGAAAACGTACTGATAAATAATTAATTTGATAACTTAAAGTAGTAAATCACACAAAATATGAAATTAAAAAAATAAAATTTCGTACGTTTGAAAACATAATGTTTATGTTATACATACATTATATTATCGCGTTACATTCTTTATATGTTTTTCTATAAAGCAAATAGCATTTTGTTATCATTAAAATATACAAAATAAAAAAAATTGTACGTATATATTAAGTTAATCTTACATTCTGGATAAATTATTCAAAAATCATGCAAGGTCTAATTCTTTTCTTAAAAATTTAAAAAAAATAATAACATAAATTTAAATTGTTTTTCTATTTTAATTATGTAATTTAAAAAAAAACTGTAAATAGATTACTTAATTTATTATATATAATATAATATATTNTATATATATATATATACACACACACATTTACGAATGATTCGTTAAATTTGTAAAATTTTCAATACAATTACAATAATTTCAATACCATATTTTAAAAATGTTCACACACATAAAAGTATAACATATCACACATATAAACACATATAGTATAACATACATATGATATACATGTATACATATATAAAATAATGGTAAAAATATATCTAATCTGAATAAGAGCTTGGGACAAAATATATATATATATACCATAATTTTTCTGAGAGTTACACTTTTTATATGATATTATTCCTCAGTATTACTTACATATAGGTACCGACTAATTGACAAAATCAAATACTGTGAAAAATCCGGATCAAGTTACGAGCACTCAAGATGATTTGTAATAAAATCCAATTTTACTGATGAATGTTAAGGAACAAAAAACCTGATATGCCATAATTTTTACTGTAATATTTATTTAATTAGGGTGATACACGGGTTTTATTGCAATTATTACTGTAAAAATTGGGGTATAACATTTTACGGTGAAAATGGATTTTACGGATAGCGTAACCGAAGTGCCGGTTTCTCATACCGTAGTTTGATCCGGAATTTTTACAGCGCACAACTTTATTTTTTTCTCTACATAAAAATACTGGAGTGTTTCAACAGAAACACTCTACTGAAAAAATTGATCACGTGGCTTATTTCTCGTTACATTTTTTTCTTAAAAAAACCCCCTCAATATCTATTAAAACGTTTAATTACCGTATTACAAAACAATTTTAAAGATATCTTTCTTTTCTTTCTAGAAGAACCATTTATGCCGAGCAACAATACGCAGCACCACTCCCATTCGATTAACCGATGAAGGGAATTGCACTAGTGTTGAGCTCTTTCAACCTAAATACTGTGGCTACTGCACGACGCACCACTGTTGCTTTCCCAAAGTAACGACGAGCAAAAGAATTCAGTTTCGTTGCATTGACGAGGAAGGGACTAACATCATGCAAAAGGATGTTCTATGGATAATTAAATGTAATTGCACAGAAACTTGCTAGTTCAGGCTTCTAGAAAAATATGTTATCTAATACTACCGTCCATTTGACTTTATTAATTTAAACAACAAGCTTTTACACTCTAAATAGAAATAACTGAATATTTTGAGAAGATATGATATGAAAACTGCCTGTACAGAGAAAAAACAAGATATTCCATTGGGAAAAGTGACCCATATAGCTCTTCGACTTTCTTACAACAACCAGTGACTTCAACCTTGAAGTTTCGTAACTTCCTACGATGCTGAAGACCACAATGAATTATAAAAAAGAAATTTAAACCATTAAAATATAAGGAGAAATGTACGACCAAAATTTTTATTGAGAAACAGTCTTGGCACTAACTATTTGTTTTTAATCCTTTATGACACACCAGGTAATTGCACAATACTCTCAAAGGTACTTGTGATATTAGAGTTTAAAGCTGCTCTTTGCTAACAATGAAGCTTTTTTTCCTTAATAGACTTGCTATTAACAACTTGCTATCTGGTCTTTTAAAAGACCTTTAAATTCCCACAAGATCTTGTGAAGAACAATTAATTGTTTTAACTTTCTGCGAAGTTCTTCGTAACAGCACAATGCTCTCAAAGGTTCTTGTGATATTAAAGTTTAAATGTACTGTTTCGTATCATTAAAGCTCTTTGCCTTGGCACTATCAGATTTCTATATTGAAAGGTCTTTGATTTCTAACAAGATCTTTTGAAGAACTAAACTTATAACAGGTCGTTAATCTCATTAAAGATAGTATTTATGTAACAGGATGATGAAAGAAGTATTCTTGTAACAGCAGCGGAAATCAAAGCAAGAAACTTTGGATTGGTTGTCAGATACTCTTTGGCTGGAAAATGTTATGTAACAAAAATAGCAATGTATATAGTTTTTCAACTCAGAATTTCTAATTAATGATTGAAAACACAAAGCAACAAAACCAGTGTATATCTCATCACTGATGCGAGTTTAATGTATCGCAATGCAATAGTTTATAATAGGAGTAAAGCAAGGTGGTGTACCTTCATTAATTACTACGAATGCTACATATTTAATGCATGAAGGTCGTGTTTGAATAGTGGATCAACCCCATTTATATATTTAAAAAGATATGAGGTTAGTTATATTTATATAAGTCATCCTCATATATTTTAAAACTATTACACCTCCTGATTCTTCTGAAAAATGAAGAACTCTAGAAATCAGATTATAGTTTGTATTTGTAAATAGAATATGCGTCTCAAAACTAAGTGATTTTCTCACTCTCATCACTTTTACCCTCTGCGTTACCATGGTCTCGCAAATCTAACTTTTTCCCACTCAAGACGTCTGTTCTATTTGCAAAGATTTGGATTGGGAAAACAACATAACTAAACTTAATGGCTCTTTAATTCAAAATGAACAAACAAAGACAGAATTGGCTCACTACTTAAATTAGGCCTTCTTACAATATCCCAATGCTGGATAATGTATTATAATAAGATTTTATGAAAATGATAAAATTTACTCATTTCTGAACTTCGGAATGTGTGCAATCAAGGTTCATATCCCTGAGCAAAGTTTTCAAAGAACGCTTAGCCTTTTAATACGCAAAAGTGTGAGCAAATTTGCACAAACATTCCCATTCTGTGTTCTTTTATACCGTGATATAACACTAAAAAAACAATTAGAAATGAATGAAAGCAATCAGGTCTTCAATTTGCCAGTTAGAAAGACGTAATACAACAATTCAAGTGGAAAATAATGATAAATTGTGATTGAATTCAATGTGATAATATTTAATTTATAATAATTTAGAAACCTCTATTTGAGCTATATGGGTGAATGTTGACTTCTACAATTGTGAATAACTCAGAGCTTTAAGCTTGAAAATTTGACAATGTCTTTAAAAGAGAATACATCGAATACTTAGAATATATAATTTTGTTCTCAAAATTATAACATTCAAAGAGTCATTGCTAAATTTATTATCTAAATTACAATTCATGTCATTTACTTAAAGTTGATAAGTGACAATTACAAGGATTATCATACAACTGCAATCACATGTAGAGGGCATTATCATTTATCTATTTTATAAGAAGGTGCTTTCGTTACATATCACTAAATTAACTTGAAGTATTTTTATTGTTAAGGATTTAATTTAATATTTAATTTCGTTTGTTAATAGTTAACCAAAATAGTTTAAAAGGAATTTGGGTATTTGTTAAATACACACAATTTGATAATTCGCACATTAAACTGTATTTAAAGTAAATATCTTCATTGCAACATTTAAGACGTTAATAACTAATCTTAACCGTACTCTACTATAAAAAACTCCGTATCAAATTGCTGTAAAAAGTACTGTCACTATGTGTGCATCATCCGTTAAGTTGATTATACTATACAATCTATTTTTACAGTAATATTTTATACCGTATATTTTACAGTAATCATTTAACTACAGTAATTCAGTGATTTTACAATAAATATTACTATAAAAATTATGCTATATTTAATTTTTTTGTTGCCAAATATTTTATAGTAATTTGATCTGGGATTTTTTATATTATAGAATATGGTCAATTTGTAATTTTTTTCCTTAGTGTCTGATTTTTCATTTAGAATTAGCGTATTTAAGTAATTTTTTAACGCTTCTAAATTAACATTTTCAGTCTATTCAATTTTAAATTCTTCAAACGTTATTATTGTTATTATTATTATTATTATTGATTATTATTATTAATTATTATTAATATTATTATTTTTATTATTATAATTATTATTATTGTTAATTATTATTATTATTATTAATTATTATTAACATCAAAGTTATTATTGAAAGGAAACTAAAGAAAAATTAACATCTATCAATAATCAAAAATATTATTTTAAAATTTAATATTGGAGGGTATGAATTAAATTTTTTATTGACACGCGTTTATGTTATATCTGTATATAAATTATATTTTTGATAATTGTAATACTACATCAAAAATAAAATTTATAATAATTCAAAAAAAAAATTTATGATAACACAAAAAAATTAAAATATTTATTTATTTTTTAACAAATTCATTTTAATATTTAAAAAATATATATAATTTTTTTCCCTTTTTGCTTTTTATTTTCGGTCTTAAAATTAAACTTAACTTAAACTTAATTAAACTCTTAAAATTAAACTTAAAATTAAACTTAACTATTACTTAGAGGATTATTTACAGCAGTACAAAACCTAATTTAAATCAAAGTTTCTTTTCATATTCTGAGTATCATATGTCGAATACATGCTTCTGAATTATACCTATATTTTAGAAACATTTTAAACTGTAAAAAGTATTTAAATTAAACTAAGCAGTACAGAGAGTATTTGAGCAGCACATTAAGTATTCGAGGTATTCAGTACCTTAAATCATCTGAAATATTAAAAATGAGTTTTAACTGCTGTCTGCCCAAAGCAAGGGCAACACGAAACGCACCTTATATCTATATTTTTAGCTAGATTATGTTGATGTAACATTTTTAATATCCGTTATTCTTAATAATAACTCAAAATGATGTGTGTTTATTTTTTATGACGTAAGGTATGCGAGAATATGTAAGTTAGAAAACATATGCATGTATTTGAATTTAGAAAACATATCACTTTTCTAACAAGTGAATCTCTCATATCTTTTATTTTTTATCAAAAATTATGAATATTCATCACATCAAGTGTAGTGGCTTCCAAATTTAAGAGTAATTTCACTTTGTATTCTGCAGTTACAAACAAAATTTCCGAAGTATCTCATTTTTTATGCAGTATTAAAATAATATTTGATAAAAATTAATTGGAATTTAATGCTTTTATGCATTTTTTTTAAAATTGAATCTTATTTTTGTAATTATAATAATGTTTGATGGAAATTGTTTTGATATGTAACGTTTTCATGCAATTTTAAACGTTTTAGTTTTAACAACTGAATTTTTCCATGTAGTTTAAAAATATTTAGTGAAGGCTATTTATTTTTTTGACTTAATATTTTTAAATTGCATAAACAATGTTTTTAACTTTGATCAAACGTTTATTAGCATAATATTTCAATACTAATTCATAAGTTTAGTAACATAACATAACCAGTAACATAAATTTTATTTTCATAGTTATTTTTTATGTAGGTTGATTTTCTACCCACTTAAAACTGTTTGCTGCAGATTTCTAAAAGATTTTAATTTGTCATCATGAAACTAATAATTATTACAGGAGACTAAATTTTGTAACTGAAGCTCACAAAAAAGTAAACGAACTGGAAATTATTTATTTAATTTTGGAAGCTACAGTAATTTATTCATATGAAAAGTTATGTAATGACATTAGCAAAAAAATAAATTTTTATATTTTAGAGTGATTTTAGAAAATGTTATAAATTTAAACCTTACAGGACATAAAAATCAAACACTGTATTAAATTTATGAGATTAGGCATTAAGTATATAACGTATTTACAGAAGAAAATGTATAAAATTTATCAGAATGCTTACATTACTGTGTTTGTCAAATATTACCTATTTGTCATTTGTAATAATAAATGATTTTCAAAGTGTATTCATGTTTTGTCTGTTCAGTGAAATCAGTTTTTCCACACTTTTGAGGAATTAAAATACGTTAAGCATAATTTGCCAAATTAAAAAAAATATTTTTAACACAGAATATTCAGATTATAAAACAAATACATGATATGTGTATAATTTCAAATTCATAAAAAAGATGCCTTAAATATACAGAGTGTTCCATAAAGACCACCCTAAACATGCATTTTTAAAACATTTAGAGCGAATAAAAACTGAAAAGTATATGAATCGGGTATAGTAAACTAATATTTAATATAAGAAAAAAGCTTTCGAAATATCACCAAATACAGTTGAGGGTGGCAGACGTCATAAATATCAAAACAGGTTTCATTTCAGTTTTTGACGAGATTTTCCTGAACTAACTTTTTCAAGGTTTTGAAAAGGTTTTTTTGAACTTACTTTTTCAAAGTTTTGAAAAAGTTTGCTAGAACTTACTTTTTCAAGATTTCCTTGGACAAGGTTTTCTAACCAACTTGAAGGTTTGCTAACAGACGTTTTTCCACCATCCCCTCCTCGCTACTATGAAATCTGTCTTATTGTTTGTTACTCATGTCTTTCTGTATCATGATTGATATAAATTTAAACCTTACAACTAACAAGATATAAAAATCAAATTTTGAAAAATTGTGAAATTTTGAACAATTTTTTAAAATTTTTTCTTCGATTTGTGACCTTTAATGTACATTTAATTTTTATTTTTAATAAGGATTCTAAACATACGCATTAAGGGTGGTCCTAATAGAGCACCGTATACATGGTATGTACTTCTGAAAAGCTACGGACTTGCTTTTAAGTGTTACTTTAAGAAAGAAACTAGTTGTTAAAATATCAGAAGATAAATTAACGCAGTGTACAAAATTAGCGTTTGCAATGTATTGTGTTCATAAACTTAAAAAAAATTAAAACTGTTAGCTAACATAGCGTACCATTAAATCCTTTAATTATTTCAAAATCTATTAATGCTTAATTTTGAAATGTCATTGCACTGTTTGTTTGTGTAAGTTTAAACTACTTAAAACTTTTACTATTTAATTAAAAAAAAAAACGATACAGTTTCATATTTTAAAAGTATTGTAAAGTACTTAAACTATACATCTATAAATTTCTTTAGAACCAAGCAATATTGCTGTCCTCAATATCTGCCCATTCGATTTGTTTGCAATTTCTTTACTTCCACAGTTTTACTTCACCATAATATTTCTATAGTTATTTTTGGAACCCAATTTATTACAATTGTTTATAGAAACTGAAAATTTGGACTAAAGAAGCACTTTTTTAAACGTTTGCGAGTATTTGAATCAAAATTTCAGAAAAATTTGATCCAAAATTACAATTAAAAAGACCCATTAAAATTAAGATCATTAGTATGCATGTGCAAATAGATACTATTGGTTTGTTCCTATATTTTTCAAACTTTGAAGTGGTTGATTAAAACCCGAACAGCTTTAAAAATAAAATCTATTACAATTTTAATTTGCTTCCATTATCATTACAAATTTATGGGACAATCTCTCTCCACTATTTAACCCCTTTAGGACAAATGGGGGGAAATGCACCCCCTCACTCCGCGTTTATATGTATTAAACTACTTCTTACACGCATTCTTAATTTATAAGTATAAAGGTGTACGTAAGTGTATTTATACGAGATGTAACAAAAAAGTACCAAATAAGGATAGCGTTTTTGTTTTCGTAGACCACCAGAATTTGACAGACTCGTTTTCTATATATGATACAGTGGACCATGTATCCCCCGATTACGTAAGAGGGTTGCTATTTATATTTCTGGCCTAATAATGAAAAAACAAATATGTAGGATCGAAATTGGTTTTATTGTTTTTCAAAATATTCTCCATGATGATCAATACACTTTTGCATGCGTTTGAACCAATTTTCAAAGCACTTTTTCCAGTCCGATTGAGGTAACTCCAAAACATGCGTTTTGGATGCATCAACCGCTTCTTCGGGGGTCGAAAATCGTTGTCCACGTAATTTATTTTTGATGTGTGGGAATAAGAAGAAGTCATTGGGTGCCAAATCAGGGCTGTACGGCGGATGACCCATCAGTTCGATCTTTCGCTCCGTCAGAAATGCCTTTGTTTGAGTCGATGTGTGAGAGCTCGCATTGTCATGATGAAGAATGATTCGCCTGTTCTTCTGCTTTTTTCGAATTTCTCCGATGACTTCTGGCAAACAAATGGTCGTGTACCATTCAGAATTGACCGTCCTGCGTTGCTCTAACGCCACTGTTGCCACATGACCGTTAATGCCGAAGAAACAGGCAATCATTTGTTTCGATGTGCTTCTTCCTCGAACAACTTTTGTTGGTTTTGCCTCGTCTTGGAAGACCCATACAGTTGATTGCTGTTTTGTTTCCGGCTCATATGCATAGATCCATGATTCGTCACCTGTGTAGATGTTATACACAGCCTTTGATGTACCTTGAACGTATTTTTCCAACATTTCCTTGCACCAATCGACACGAGCCTTTTTTTGAGCGTTTGTCAGATTATGCGGGATCCAACGCGAACAAATTTTTTTTACGCTCAAATGTTCATGCAATATTTTATTGATGCTAGTCATACTAATGTCCAAAGACGCCTCTATCTCACGGTATGTCACATGACGATCTTGCTTTATCAGTTCACGCACAGCATCGATCTTTTCTGGCACAACAACGGATTTTGGACGACCTGCACGGGATTCGTCCTGGATCGAACATCGACCACGATTAAATTCGTTATACCAATTTTTTACAGTGCTGTAGGATGGCGCTTTATCGCTGAATAAAGAATTAAGTTCATCGAAGCACTCTTGTCTTGACAATCCACGTCGAAAGTTATGAAAAATAATGGCACGAAAATGTTCACGATTCAATTCCATTTTTTGAAAGAGAAGAACTTTTCAATTT